CCTGGAAGATGTGCGACCTGCGTTTCTGGCGTGCCCGGGACGAATAGCGGTCGAGAAGAAAAGAAAAGAAAACTAGGATTATAAGACATCATACTGACATGCTTTCTTGATGAGCTCGCAAGCTGCAAGGAGAAGCGATGCTGCTAACTTGGCAAAGAGTTCTACGCATGCGAACACTAGTTGGATTACGTAGAGAATGACAACTGGTCCAAGGAAGTATGTTGCTACACCGAGAAGCGCGGTTGTGCCAAATATGGCGAGAGCAGCTTTCCAGTGAGCAGATATAGTCACTATGAGTGGTCTCAAATCAGGAATGTTGAAGTCATGGAACCAGCTTGATGACTTGATCCAAGGTTTCTCATGTGAGTTCAAGATTTCAGATTCATTTAGATGAGGCATATAAGCCAGAACACCGTGCAGCTGTAATCTGGTGTAGTTATCATAGCACTCAACGCGGCATTCCTGGGCAATGTGACTACAGCAAAGCTGGGCACATAAGAACTGTACACATAAGAAAAGACGTATCAAACGTACTTCCGATGTCGACTGATGGAAGTGATGGAAGTCAAGAATGACTTGCGTCGATTTGTTAGAAGGAATCACATTCGACTGAAAAGGAATGATCGTCGCAGAGAACGATTATCCATGCCGGTATTTTTGTGACGCATGAGATATTCAACACTGCTCCTTCCAGGCAGCTATAACACCCTGTGAGTGGACCTAGGGAAACTTCGCATGCCTGACGCACTACGTATTCGGCACTTCCCTTCATGAACTTGGACTCGATGGAGATTGTCATTTCTTCCCTCGTGGAGTGCGCGATGATCGATTCGTTTTTGCCAGTGATTCTCACGAATGGAGTCGAAATCGGAAGCACGTTTGATACGTCTTTTCTTATGTGTCCAATAGAGTCTGTTGGACAGTCACATTGGGTCAGTCACGTCACAGTCGCAAATCATTCGATTTTTGCACAGGTGGAAGTTGCTTGAGGCTTGTTTTCTTGTGGAACATTCTACCGGAAGTTTGTATCCCTCCGGCATAGCCAAGATCTCGCTGCTTGTGACCGCAAATTTGCTGTGCAAAATGGGGCTCGTTGGCTTAGCCAGAGATATCACGGTTATAGTGATGTCATCTACTTTTTGCGGTATGTACGGTCTGAGAACGAGGGTTCTGGAAACGTTTGTGTTGTACAATGAAATGTGCACTCTTAGTCGTACTATAGGTTTCCATTCCATGCATTCGACAACTTCGTACACGAACTTGGATCTAGGAATATGCGCAATTCGATAAAATGAACACGAAGGTAGGATCGTTGGGCAACCACAGAAGATGCTCCCGCACGATTCCTCACATCCGGAATATCCTGGATATCGAGATGCATTGGCCAACTCTGGAATGATTGTTGAGGGCCGAACTTTGGAGCATGTCTGTCCCACACATGATCCCATCAATGCACATCGTTTAGCACTGAAGACTGTGGTGTCTGTGTCTCTCGTAAAAAGCAAGGTGCGTGGGGAACAGTGTAGTTCTACCGCAAGTCGTTGGAGAGAGATCTTGCCTATTGATTTATTTGCGTGCAAAATGTTGACGCACATCTGTGTGTTGATCTCGTTGAACAAGATTTCTCTGCTGAATTCCATATAACATTTGCCACTGGAATTGCAAGTGATCTCAGCGTAATGTCTCATATGTCCATGTTGGCAGGCTGCTGTTTGCCCGCAAAGCATGACTAATGCAAAAGTCACTGCGACGGTGATGCTAAGGCGCTGCGGGCTGAATGTTTTGAGGTCGATTTTTTCGTTAGCACAGCTGCGGCGGCGGTGCTCGTACGTCTTTATGTCTCTGTCGCGGGAATCGAACTTTCGATGCTTGTCTGGCAATTAGCAGTGCTGCCGCTTGACCATTTCCTTGACGTGCGTTTCTTCGCAGCTGTATGCTTTTCACAACGAGTAAAGGAACGGAAACTAATGGACGCAATAGATATGAGTGCTCTTATCGGCCAGCAATGGGGATTGCCAATCAGGCGCTTCGAAAACATGTCCTTAGAGGCCTCACATATATGCGGAAGAGCACAATTGATGTGAAATTCCTTCAATGTGGCTTGCGCTGTGTATCTCATGCGAACGGATATGTTGTTGTTCGAGTTGTTAACGGCAGTTGTAGAGAGAAGTCAGTTGGCATAGCTGAGAAGCGTTTGCAGGTTGTTCGCACGCAAATCTCGAATGTGCCGTTAGGCGGAAATACTCTAATCATTCCGTTCTCGCAAAGAAGTGGTGGAGAAGCGTCTGCATGAGAGATCAAAAGCGCAATCATGAGAATTGCCAGACATAGTGAAGATGTGCACGGTGGTGGAGATCTTCGACTTGGCTCATTTTCACTATTCAGAGAGTTTGTCGCTTGAAGCTTGAAATACCCTTTTTGCCCTGAGTTTGGCTTGCCGTGGAATTTGTTGCTCAGGGAAATGATTGCGATTTTCGGGTGATTCCTGATGTTCGTCCCTGCTTACGGATGGAATCTCCAAGGGATAGATCTTGTTCAGTGGTCTATGCCATACATGTCCATTAGGCATTAGAATCTTAACGGATCGCACTTGTTCGTCGGTGCTTTCACAAGTTCGACTATTTTCCCGTAGCACCAGCTACCGCGTGGAATATTATCTTGTTCTATCAAGACGATTTCCCCAACTGTTGGTTCTCTTGATCGTGTATGTCGACGTTGTTTTAGCCGTGCGCACTGGATTTCGCGTAGTGATGTGAGATATTCCATGTGCCATCTTTCCCAAAACTTATTTGCAGTCACGTTCATGTGTTCAAGAGCTTGCCTAGCTTGAGATACGGTCTGTATAAGATCCGGGTCGAAGTCAGGACCTTCTCGGTGACTTTCTGTTGGAGTTAGGTCGTATTTTAAACTACTCTGGAGAAAGTCTATGGGTCTGATCGGTATTTCGTCAACATTGGATGAGTGCAAATGAGTGAGTGGTCTCGTATTGATGATGGCTTCGATTTGAGTGACAGCCGTGTATAGCTCTGAGTGGGATAGCTTTCTTCGCCCAATAGCCTTTGTGAAGGCACGTTTAACCGTACCAACTAATCTTTCCCAAGCGCCACCCATCCACGGGGCGCCTGGCGGGTTGAAGGACTGAATTCCACGGTTCGCACTATACGACAGTACGGAATTCTCATTGTTTTCCGAATCGTTTCGAAGAATGGATTCAATGACACGCTGGCCGAGTTTAAAATTGGTGCCACAGTCGGTTCTGATGAGTTTGGGAGCACCTCTTCTTGATATAAATCGTATGAAGGAGTGGAGAAAGGTCTCTGCGGACATGTCTTCTACCACTTCCAAGTGCACAGCTCGTGTGGTTAGGCATGTGTAAAGGCAAATGTACAGCTTTTCATTGGTCCTCGATGAGTATGGCCCATGAAATCACAACCGACTGTTTGAAATGGGCCGAGTAGAACAACCCTATCCGTTGGTAGTGATGGCATATCCGGGGCTCCAAATGGAAGACCGTGAGCCTTTTTACATGTCACACAATTTTTCAGGAATTTGTTGAAAGCTCCTGATGGGCGCGGAATCCAAAAGCGCTGTCTTGCGATGCATAGTGTGTGATCCTTTCCACAGTGCGCATTTCGTGTGTGAATGTCGCTGAGGATCAGTCATTTCCGAGTCCTTTTCAAGAAATATCGGGTTTCTCGTATCGTACGGTACAGGCGCATTTTGTAGACGCGATGCGTATCTTATAACGCCTTCTTCATCTTGGAATATTTTCTTTTGAGGGAATCTTTTGCGCAAATCTTCTACTGAGATGCACGCATGAGCGCCGCGAATGAGGAGATTCTCGCTCAGTGCTAAGTCATTCACTGTCGTATTGAAGAATGGAATCGGTGTAGGTTCTTAAGCCGAATCTTATGGCCGTCGGTGAGATTGGTCTTATTCACCCAGGTGAGAGCGCGCTCTTTGCTACTCGTGCGGTTGTTCGGAGTGCTCTCGTAAGAGATGGAAAAACTCTGAGAAAGCTGCCACATAGAATAGACCACTTTGGTTTTGTCGCCCCTGGCAGAGTGCTATCTCGCATACGAACCAACTGTCTATTGGGGTCTCGCTTCTTTTCCCAGTTTCGTTCTTATGCCAGGTCTTCGCATAGGCTCTAAGTCGGCGAAGAGCTGGTGCTGCGAGCCTGTCTCAAGCTATTGGTGGCCGTTTACTCCTATGGTAGATCATGGGTTTGCTGACCGACCTTTTACGACACCGCCGTTGTGCGTCCCGTTCAGGGAGGTTTTTTCCTCTTGTGCGGATACGTGGGTAGAAATAAACTTCCATGCCCTGAGCCCTTGATGGCAGCTTTCTGATGCTGCATGAATTTCCGGCATGCTCTGAGATTCTCGATAAATGATTGGAAGATTTTCGCTGGCGACGTTAATCCGATGATGAGCGCAACTTTCGCTGCGTCAGAATGTGATCTTGTGCAAATTTGATGTCTGCTGGCCTGAACTGAATTTGGTTTTTGCGCGCCACGAGTAGCCCATCAATACGGCATCGATGCTCGAGGCTGGTTCCGACGTGTAGCTTGGCTTTCTTCTCCTATTGCCTTGCCGGTGCGAGCGCACAGCCGTGCTTTCAAGGCCGGGCTCCCCTAGCCCCGGCATCGGTTCCACTAATGTTCGCACCTTTGTCCTACTCTAGACAAAAACCACCAAGCTAGGTTTGCTGCGCTGGAGATCTAGTCGTCTCGCCCATACTTGGTCCTTTATTTTGTCGCCGCCCCGCCCCCGGACCTTATGTTACGGCAACGTAACGCAATGGCAGGCACGCCGCTCACTCCGCTCCTTGACACATCTCTCATCATTCATTTGTGCTCATAGCGAGCTGCATTCTCTGGCACCTTTGACTCTCTTCACTCTCTCCCCACTCCGCCCCCCGGGATCTTACCCCGAAATCGCTAGCGCATCCTCTCCCATGCTAAGATAGTTTGCACTGGCGTCATCTGTACTAATGTGCTTTACGAAAGTTCGATAGATCGTATTATGGAATTGAGCTCCTTCGCGAACTGTGACTAATTATGTCCTTTTTTGTAAGATCAATTTTCTTGCAGAATTCTATTCTCATTTTGAACTGGTCGCCTTCCGTGTCATAACTCACTCCCAGAAGCATTGTCAGCAGGGGCGTTGTCGTTTTTTGGGACTCGGCGTGGTCATTGCACCTCCTATACAGCCTCTCGCGAGAACTCGCGGGAGGTTCTCTCAATCTGCCGCTTAGAAGCCCTGGCTTTCGCTTGCTCTGCTACCTTTTCCTCCCCTCGAGCAACGGTTCTCAGATTGGTGTCTCCGCACTCAAAGAAGCGACTACCAACATAGAGGTTGTGGAGAATTTCTTTCGAAGTTGTGAATCTTCAGATTGCAGGAATGCAAGAAGTGACATGTTAAGGATACTAGGAGACGGCTTCGTTCGGAAGGGTACTCTTTTGAAAGGGTATTCGACTATTTTCTCTCGCTGTGGGCGGTTGTATCGGTCGGGTCGGGTTCTTGAGCAGCAAAGAAACCGACCGACAGAAGTCTTTCGTGTGCGGTTTCGAGTGAATACCTGATTTTGAGTAGAGGGCTCAGGCCTCTATATCACATGTGCAGGATATCATGGATGCTTCCGAACTAGAGCGCAATTCTCCTTTGATGAGTCACGTCGTTCCCAAAGAAAGATGAGGCCTTCGCGTGCTTTGAGATTAAGCGCCCGTCACAAAAGACAATTCGGAGCGGGTTTTAGGTTTATTTTCCCGCCACACTCCAGAGTGAGGCATGTAGTAAAGCCCTACTGAATCGGGGAATGACGTCCGATACCCGTTCGATGATGTCGTCGTTTTCATATTGCTTTAAAATTTTACAATACCATTCCTTTTGTGAAGGGTTGTTTTCGAGCTGACGATGCAAACTTACTAACCTTCTGATTGCCGACGGGTAGTTGTCGGTTAAGTCACAGACATTTCTTTGAGTGGGAATGGTGCGACGACATAACCGTTTTAAGGGAAATTTGTTTTGAATATTTCTCGAAGGAGATAAGCTCGTTGTCCTCCGTGTTGTCTTCGCTTGAAATTCCCATGCCCTCTAATTCGAACAACTTGTTAAGCATTGCGCTTTCTGATGTCATGTCCGTAATCGCAGTCATGTTGTAAGAAATTGCACACTATTCGAACGAGAGGGGCGAATTTTGGTCGGTTGAGGTAGGTGTTCTGGCGCAGGCCAGAACCCGCGGTCACCCCGCTCCTTAGGGGCGGGGCTTAGGGCATTGTGGTTTCTGTTCTGCCCGAACCAGGGTGTCTTGTGTGCCATTAGGATAAATCTTGTATCCAACCACTGAACCACCTTCATACATTCTTAAAGAGAGATACTCATCTCTCGTAATTGAAAGGCGCCACCAGGGTCAAGCGAGGCGTCGAGGAAAATTTGGAAATACGACCCCCCTCCCTCCCCAGAGGCCGAAGTCCATGAAACGACCCTCTTCAAAAGCCGAACTATGAAAAGGTTGTTTAATTCTCCCCAAAACTGTTCATAAAAAAGCCCTGCTACCCCACCGTCCACCAAAAATTCGTTTAAGAAGTACAAAAGTGAAAAAGTCAAAGAATGATCATTATTGATGAGTCCTACCAAACGAGCAAACGAGAAACAGCAAAAAACGACAAACTAGTCACTAAAAATGGCATACTATGACAACATCTCTTCTTTATTTATTTCCTTCGCAAGACTTACCAAATTCTAGTACTACACAGATATTCCACGTCCCCCTTTCAGCTTGAAAGAAGCCTTGTAACCGCCTTCGCCAGCTGTGTGTTGACTGATCTTTGGCGTTGACCGTGGAGCAGCTTATTTACTATTGAAAT